GAGCTAAATAAACCTTTCTTCCTTTAACTTTGGGTATTGGATGCTTTGTCCTAGCAGTGAGAGAAAATTAACTAAGACAAGGGTGATAAAAAGCAACTTCGTTTGTGGTGCAATACATTCTAAAAATTTAAACATTCACTGCAAATGTTGATCACATCTCATATAAACACATCAGAGTGGGGAAGCAAGAGGACAAAGCCTAGCATGCCCATGTTTTCTTCCTGACTCACCAACCAGATTGTTTGGGGTAGAAGAAGAATAAAGACTCCAAGGAATGTTCACCCAGTAGAGATGCAAACCTGAGAAGGGGAAACGATGTCCCCCAACTCAGGTGTGATGCCTGGAATGTTCCTAGTTTTTTTTGATGTCTACAGCTAATCCTTTACATCTTGTCTTTTGCTCCCTCTGGAGCTTCAATATGCTTCAATAGTGAGGAGGCATTTATAGAGGACAGTGTGGCAACAGATGGGGAAGGATGGCATGGAGCATCACAAGTCAAAAGAGCAGGACAAGCCAGGCAAGGTGGCACATTCTTGTAATCCAGCACTTGGGAGACTGAGGCAGGAGGATTGCTATGAGTTTGAGGCCAGCATGGGCTACATAGTGAATTCAAGGCTAGTCTGAACTACATGGTGAGACCCTGTATAAAAAAAAAAGCTGGACAAAGAAAAGTATAACCAGAAATTTAGCACCACACTATCGTCTCCTCTTTTAGAAATTTAATGGCTTGACCTCAAATTAGTAGTTATGTACTCAGCTACTGTTGGTTACAACAGAAACTGTTTAATTGCTACTTACGCAGTTTTCAGGATTAGTTGATGCTGACTTTCTGTCAGTTTTACTGATGGGGTGGGTGCTGGCAGCTAATATAGTTTTCCACAGCACACCACACACTTATACTTCTCCATGTGGCTTTCATGAGTTGTATTATTCCACATGTACTTGTATTTAATTCAATTAAACTGTATAAACTGTTGAAATATTAGCAGGAAGAGGAAGCTATTTCATCAAAAACATTTTGGACCCTTTTTAGACTGTATAAAGGTAAGTTACTAAAACTGCTGTTCAATTACGCACGAACGAGACAACTCTAAAAGTTTGACAGAATTATACAAATCTGGAGTTCTGCACTCTACTTTGCCAGTGTTATTAGTAACTTGCTTTAACTAGTTGATGGGCTTGGTTTATTTAAGACAGAACTCTGCCCATGAACTTGGAAATTAGGATTTACATTTGAACATAAACTACAAGGTCATCACAAAATATGATATAAAATAATTGAGGTATGCTTAGATGGTTCTGTGACACTCTTGCTCAGTCTAAACAGGGACTACTAATGTTTTAAGAAGAACTGTATCCATCAGGAGGGCGCGGTGGTGGTGGGATGGGGAGAGAAGGAGGAGCTGGGTCAGAATGTAAAAAGGAGAGAAGCATCCCAGAAGCCAGTTTTGAGCAGATCTATCTGGGACCCAATGAAAGTTGTGCTATGGCTCTAGCCACAGCCTGTTCAGACCTGGGCCAGGTACATCAGTCAGATAAATGCTTAGGTTTATCAATGCCTGGTGCCTTCTGGCACCCGAGTCCTCTAGTAAACCTCCCTAATTTTGATTTCATCTTCACTAGCATTTTACTGCCTATAATTTGGTCCTCTAGATATTATGCCCAGGGCATAGGGTGTGTTACACAAATGTATTTATGATTATTATAGCCCCCCTGGAATTCAAGCAATCTGAAATGCAGATTATCTGAAGGCAATTGATGTGGGTTATTAAGAATCTGCCCCTAAGCAGTGACTCTGCTTCCTGTGTGCTGGTGAGAATCAAGTCAAACATGTGAGGACTGAGAAGTGAACTCTGGGCTATGAGCAGCTGATCAAAGAATGTTATGGGCTGTTTAATGGACAGGGAGTCGGAGCTCCCTGCATCCTCCTGGAGATGATCACTGTTGAGACCCATACTCTTCAAACATGTTCGACCTTGGCCTCTTGGTGACTGTTTCGTGGGACACGTTGGTTCTTTTCTTTTTTTAATTGAAAGAGCTAGAATCAAATTAGAACTAACACAGGGGCTTAGGCCATAATGAACAATCCAGAGTTTCTCTGAGAATTTCCTTATGAAAGCATCTTGAAATTTGACTATTTATCCCCAGTGTAGAATTGTACTATGAAAACACAAACAACATTGACTCCAATATTCACAGACCTTTTGGGGATTTTGCCTTATTCAAAAAGCTTGTTCTTTGGGACCACTCCCTTGCACATGAAGTCCTTTTGTAGTATGAAGTACCAGCGTCTGTGTCATAAATGGGATGTCAACAAGAGCCAAACCTTCCACGCAGGTTGCTAAAGACACTCGGGCTCTGTCTGCTGCTTGTTTTATGTCTTTTAGCACCCATGCTTTTACAAGAACTTATACATTTTGGAGGGCTGGCATGCATGGTGATAACACGGTTGACAGCACCCAGGTCTGGGAGAGTCACTTATTTGCACAGTGTGCAGGCAGAAAGTACAGAGATTCTGCTGTATAGCGAAGACGTGGAGCCTGCAGAACATCGGCAGTGACTGGACAATGTCCAAGTCCCCACTTCACTCCACCCTGTGTCATTCTCAGGTGGCAAGTGACCTGGGCTGCTTAAAGCCTCTCAGATCTGACAGTGTGGACATACACTGAGAGAAGACCTAGCTTCCTGTTATCTACTTCCCTCATCTGCTGAGAAAACTTCAGCATAGCGTGGCACCTCGTTGATTCACCTGTGACAGAGAGACACCCTGCTACACCCCCTCACTGATAGCCAGAGAATGTTTTCCCTAAAGCCACTGAATTTGCTTTTTCAGAAAACATCCTATTAAGCATGAAAAATAGTTGACAGTCTTCACCATCTTATATTGGAAAAAATCTAGAAATTTATTTAAGTTTTTAAAATCTAACTTTAAAATAGTTTTCACACTTTTGGAAAAGATATAAAAAGACACAAAAAAACCTTTATATAGCTTTAATCAGGTTTTTGCTGTATGTGCACTAACATTCTAAATCTTTTCTCCTTTTCCTCACTTGTTGTCTGTCTGTCTGTCTGTCTGCTAACTGTGTCTGTTTATTGATATGTGTATACATACTCACACATATATATGGATACACATAGAAGATGCTGCCTTTTAATGAACCATTTGAGAGTAGGTATCTTTACCCCTAACGATTTGTGTGTCTATTAAGAGCAAGGATGTACACTTACACAGGGTAGTGACAAAAATGAAGAATTTTAATGTGAACACATTCTATTATTTTGTTTATAAACTTTAGTCAAATCCTACTGTGGTCTCAATAATACCTTTTATAACAAAGGTTTAATTTATTTATTTTAAGGCCCAGAATACAACTAAGTATCATTTAGTTTGCTGTTCTTTTAAATCTCTTTCAGTTTAGAATTTTTTTTGTGTGTGTGCGCGCCTGTCTTTGCTTTTCATGAAATTGGCCATTTATTTATATATTTAATTAATTTAAAAATAAAGTCCAGAGGTTTATTTAGCTCATGGTTCTGGAGGTTGGGAAGTCCAAGACTGAGGGATCACATTTGGTGAGGTCTTCTTGCTGTGTGGACTTTGCAGAATTTTAGGGCATTGAGAGGCGTTTCATGGCAGAAGGGGCACATACAGAACCTAGAGCTAACTGGCTTTTATTAGTGATCTTTTCCCATAACCCACTAATCTGTCAGTACATAAATGGATTAACCCACTCATGGGGCAAGGCCCTCATAACTCAGTCAATCCTTAAATGTCCTCCCTAATCTTAATTCTTTTTAAAATTTTTCATTAGTGTATATTCGCAGTCCTGGTTACATTCACCATGGGAGTTAGTATATATACATAACATGTCTTAATTATTATTATTATTATTTGTTTTTTTGGGTACTGGGAGTCAAAGTCAGGACCTCATGCTTGCCAAGCAGGTGCTGTGCTGCTGAGCTAAATCCCAGGCCCTTAATTACCTTTTTTGATCCCCTTCCTCTCGTTTATCTCCTTCCCTCTATCTCTTGGTCACCTTCTGTTTCACAAAAACTATGTCTCCCTGTTACCAATGATCTGTCTTCTATTTTGCTGTGTATTTATTACTTTTGCAATATTTAAGCTTGTGTGTCTTCTTTATTTCACTTAACATTATGAGAAAACAACCATTTCAAAGATCATAGGCCAGCCAGAATGGCAGCATATGTTAATAATCTCAGCAACTTAAGAGGCTGAAGCAGGGGGATCACAAATTTGAGGCCAACCTGGGCAATTATGGAGACTATTTCAAAAAATAAGAAGACAGACTGGGAATATAGTTCAGTGGCAAACTAAAAGGGAATAGGGGTAGTGGTGGAACATAGTCAATTATTCTGCTGTTTCCTAAGTTGGGTTTGCACCTGCTTCCTCCGGACTAGATGTGTTTTGCTTGTTGGATGTGTCTGGTCCTTGGTGTGTTCTGTCAAGACTCTGGTGAGTCTGTTTTCCCACACTGGTGATGTTAGTTCCTGGCACTTGGTTGTGATGTTGTCCGCTAGCTTTCTCCACAGTAGAATTATGATCCTCTCCTTTACCTATGGTTTTAGTTTCTAAGGTTTTGGTTATCCATGGTCAACTGCTTTGAAAAAATGCAGTGGAAAATTCTAGAAGTAAGCAATTCATGAGTTTTAAATGGCTGTTAATATAGTATATTGTTGTAACTTGTTATTAAATATTGTCAGTGTCTTAGTCTGCCTAATTTGTAAGCTAAGCATTAAGATATGTGTCAAATAGGAAAAAACATAGTACATGGAGGGTTTGGTACTATCCACAGTTTCAGGATTCACTGGGGGCTAGGAGATGCCATGCAGATGGGGTGTTGCTATAATAGACAGCTTATGAGGAGACACTTCATGGCCTTATAAATGCCAAGTTCTGTGTTTGTTATCTCCCCCTGGCTGTGGTGCACTTGCTACCTGCTGTGGTGGAGAGTCTCACGTGTGCTCTTTGTTTTTTTCCCCAGTGGTGATCATGTGTGCCAGTGGGGACACCATCCGGAGCATCATGCTGGCAGCACACAGACATGGCATGACCAGTGGAGACTATGCCTTCTTCAACATTGAACTCTTCAACAGCTCTTCCTATGGTAACTCTGCTTCCAGATTTCCCTCTCACTGCCAAGTTGTCTGTGTCAGCTTTCTGTTGTGTGCAACTTCCAAGGAGGGAAGGTTATTTTGGCTCATGGTTTCAGTCCATGGTTGCTTGACCCTGTTCCTTTATGCCTGTCATAGAAAAATATATCATGGCAAAAGGGCATGGTGGAAAGACCTGTTTACTTTATGGTAGCTGGGAGGCAAAGAGAGTCAGTAACAGGCTGGTATCACCATGACTCTATAAGGGCACACTTTCAGTGACCTAACTTCTTCCAACTAGGCTTTGACTCATCAAGTGTCCATTCTTTCCCAATAGCTCCATGGCAACCACTAAGCTTTCAACACATGCCCATAGGGGGCATCTGAGATCAAATCAGAGCTGTGTCAAAGAGGGATTATGAGGATGATGAAAAAATTTGAGTTATGCCCAAAAATGTGATCTCCATAAATATGCTTTTGAAATGTGATTCTGAGCAAGACTATATGAATGCTCTGCTCTATGTTATGACAACATCTCATAATTCCTCAAATTTTTTTCCTCTGACGACTTGAGGAGAGCAAAAGTATGTATTCATGGTGTCAAGGTACTTGTCTGGGGATCAACATAGCCCAGTCCCACACTCCAGGTGGTTAAAATGCAAGGCCTGAAGACCCCTTGTCCAGTTCTTTCTCAGCTGAAAGTTGCTACCACTGAAATAGACAGTCAGAATAATTTCAGTGAGCCATGGGTAGAATCTGAACTAGAATGGAACAGATTATAATACACCAAGATAGGACATGTCAAAGTATGTCATACTTGTCACATGTACTGGTTTTTAGACACTTCATGTTAGCAATATGAACATGTATATATTTATACACATTACACATATGTTTAAAATGAGTCACAATGTGAAATAAAATAGCTATTTCTGTAAATTGAGATAAAGACATTTGAATGCCACTGCTCATAGCCCCCTTCCTTTCTGATCACTGTGCCTTTAGCCTCTCCTATGCAGAATTTTGGGAGCTAGGACCATGGCATTTAATTCTTTATGATGGATCTAAGGAAGTTCCCAGGTCCCTGTTTAGAAGGTGTTAAAGGAGGCTATCATGATAGCAGGTATAGAACATTTTCTTTTCAGTGTGATTATGGCTTTCTCTAAAGTTCATTATGAGGGCTACAGATGTTTCCTCAATCCTGTAAGCTGGGATACTCGAAGTTGAGCAATTCTTAGGGAATGAAAATGTGCAGATCACAAATGACGCTTATTCCGAGCTCTACTTCCCAGTTCCTGTGGCTGTATGCAGTTACACAGGATCTAAATCTTCAAACATACACTCTGGTCTCCTGCCCTGATACCTTGGCTTGCTCAAACAGTATTACTGTGTATATACAGATGATACACTGTGCTTACCATGGATATAAAGAAAAAACTGATGAAACTGCTTCCTGCAGTGGTGAAACTGGACACGTGAGGCTTACAGGATGAAAGCCCTACTTTGCCCTCCTAATTGTGGCAACAATCTTTCCCCTATAAAAGTGCATTTATAATGTGTATTTTCATGCCTTGTCTGTCTAGTACCTAATGCAAACAATAGGCGTCGGACTTCCTTCTATACACGGACCCAGCTTGAATTGATTTTTTCCTATTCATAAGTATGGTATAAAATTTGGAAACCAGAAAAGTGAAGAGAAGAAAATAAGTTTTTATTTATTCACCCAGGTAAAAGTATACTAATAATTTTAGAAGTATATTATTCTTTTTAAAATAAGTATATCTTATAAAATATATTTTAATAGAATTATCATACTCTTTGGTATAATTATATAGTATTTTTTAATGTTTACATACTATTTGTATTCACTTTATTATTTTTCAATGTATATGTTTCTAGCTTTTTGCTCTTAAGAACAATGCTGCATTGAGTAACTGTGTATGTGGACACGCGCATATTAACTCACATATTTACATATATGCTATTTATGAGATACATTTTTAGAATTAAAATTGCTGGCTCAAATATTACATACATTAATTTTGACAGACATTGCTAAGATTGTGACAAAGAGGTTTACCAGTTTATACTTTTCCAACAATATATGAGATTTTCTGATTTTTTACAGTCTGTCAGACCTGCATGATCTTTCAAATTATTTTAATTATCTGAATTTCTTTTTATGTTCACCAACAGAGTTTTGCAGTTTGCTTTTCTTAACATAGCTATTTTAAAGTTAGTTTCTAAATTTTATTCATATCAAATAAACCACTTTAAAAGGAAAAATTCTGCAGCTGGTAGCATATTCATAATACTATGCAACCACTATCTTTTAAATTAATATCATTCTTAACTTATGTATCATGACTATAGCACACTTACTAGGTAAAATATAATGGTTTGATACATGTTTGCAATGTTTGGTGATGAAATCAAATGAATCAACATATCTATCACCTCATTTATTTGATATTTTTGTTATATATTTAAAATTTAACTTCATTATTTTAAAATATTTACATTATGTATCATTTATATTGAGTTTATTCTTGCACAGGCATTTTATGGTTTTGGTTGTTATTATGATCGTGATTTTGTTATATTTTCTAGCTGTATAGAAATATTCTGATTTTTCTTGTTTTGCGACAGTTTCATTTACTGATCCCTCTGTTCTAATTGTTTCTGTGTAATTTTTACCTAACAACAGCAATTTTTCCTTTTTTTTTGATAACTGGACATCTTATTTCTTATTCTTTTCATATTACATTGTCAAGACTCTCAAAGACAATGGCATTTATTTGGTAATAAAAACGATAATAGTATCTTTAATATCTGATTTCCTGTCTTGAAGTATGCTCCAAAGTGTATTTTTATTCTTAGTATTTCACATGTGAGTTTTAAAATATGGAATGAATTTTTATTTTATCAAATATATTTGACTCATTACTTTTATAAATTTTCTAACCTTATGCTATAATGATACTTTAATTAAGTGTACTTTATCATGATGATTTTTCAGATAAATTGTTGAATTTAAGGTTTTAGTATTTTATTTAAGATCTTGAATCCATATTCATGAGTGAGCTTGGACAGTAATTTTCTTACCTTAAGGTGATACTGCCTGATTTGAATGTCAGGCTACATTAGCTGTATAGAATTAACTGGGATGCTTTCCACTGTTTTCCATACTTTTGAACAATTGATATACCATGAGAATATACCTGGAATTATGGAAATCAATTTTATATTTGGAATTCACTTATTTATTTATTTTTAATACCAGGGATTGAACTCACGATCTTGAGCTTGCTAGGCAGTCACTTGTGCCACTGAGCTAAATCCTTGGTTCTCACTTATTTTTTTTTTAATTTTATTTTAAATAAGAGAAAACCAAGGAAAATAAAATAGAATAAAACCAATCAAAACAAACCAATGTAAATGATATAGGACTTCAAAACATTATAAATCAACAAATAGTTACTATAATGCCTTTTGTTGTCTTCAAAATAGCTGCAGATACCTTTGAATGTCGTAAAAATAAAACAGAACAATAGAATAGAAACAGTAAAAACAAAACAGTGAATGCAATAGAAGACTTCAAAACAAGATAATAGTAAATCCAAAATGGCTACCATAATATATCTTGTTATCTTTGAAATAGCTGCCATTGGATATAACAAACAAACAAAAAAGAATAAAACCCAACTCAACAAAACAATGAATACAATACAGGACTTCAAAACAAGCCAATAGGGACTCAATAATGACCTCAGAAGGAGATCCTCCCTAGATGCTACACTACGTACCACTATCTTCTGAACAGATGATCAGACCACTAGCCCTAGACCTGTAAGGTCAGTGAAACACCAAAACACCTTAAGCATTGAATTGCATTTTACCTCAATAGCTATCATCACAGCCTATGGTCCTCTGGATCAGCTGGGCCCTTATTGGGGGGTGGTGATGAACAATTGTATTTCTTGTTTGTCAGACCACACGCCAGAAGGGGCTGGGGTCTGCTGTCCCCATGCTGGTGGTGGCTTGTGCATGGTGCTGGTTCTCCAGAGGGGCTTGCTTCTTGGTGAGGCCTTGTTCTCTCCCCCTGCAGTATTCGAATGGCTCTGACTTATGGGGAAAGGCTAGGATCTGGCTGTCCCCATGCTGGTGGCAGCCTCATATGGTGGTTCGCAGTGGGGGCTTCCTTCCTTCTTTTAGAGATAAATTTGTGGCAATTGTTTTTGTTTGGTGGTATTCAAACTCAGGACCTTGCACTTGCCAGGCTGTTGTTGTGCCACTGAGCTATTTCCCCCATGGGCAAGTTTTAAAAAAGTTTTTATTTTGAAACAATTATAGAAAACTTGCAAAAGTGATATATACTTTATGTATATATTTTATCAAGATCCTTCAATGTTAACAAGTTAAATAACCACAATAAAATTATCAAAACAAAAGGTTAATCCTACTAATAACCAAGCTAGAAGTCTTATTTAAATTTATCACACTTATCCTCCTAATGTTCTTGTTCTGCTCTGGAATCAGTCACAGCATCCTACACTGATTTAGCTGCTGTCTCCTCTAGTTTGCAATCATTGACACTTTTGATGTGTTATTGAGTAGAATAACTTTCTGTTTGGATTTATCTGATTTTTCCCACTATAGGATGAGTTTCATTTTCTGGCATGAATACTACAAAAATGACGCATCTTTCTTAATGTATAATACAACTGCATAAGAGGGATACTTTTTGTTGGTGATATTTGGACAATTTCTTCAAACTTAGTTTCCCTTGAGTTCAGTTTTTCTGCCTTTTGAAAGTTTAATTGCACAGAATTATATGGAGTGATCTTATATAATGTGCAAAGAGCACTTAGAGTTTCTGACTAAATTCTTATTTTTTCTTTTATACTATATTTGCTTAGACTGTGGACTCTGGGGTCAATCATCCTGAGAGCCATGTACTAACTCTTAACTCTAAGAGCCAAAGATTAATAGCTTAACCCTTAACTCTGTCATT